TCATTGCTTGATCTTAATTACGCTTCCCGTGAGGGATTTTTAAAAATAAATTCTGGCTAAATAGTAGTTTCAAGTCTCGAGAACAGAATGCAAAAGGTTTTACGTGGATTCCAGGCTTCGGTACGAATCATTTCTCCAAGTACCGTTTCGAGAGTGAATTCGTATAGGGGAGAGTCGTGGAGTGCCGGTCAAAAAGCTAGATCTCGTTTATACTGTTAGTTAACTGCACTATTGATGGAAAAACAAATGAATACTATAGCCCTGAGCAACGTATTCCGGCGACGTTCTTTTTCTTCAGTAATACCGGAGTTCTAAGACGTTTAACGTTTACGCCGCTGTTCCGAAAGTTATTTTTCATAGCTGCAATGGTTGGGCTCACGTGGAGTGTACGGATCAAGAAAATATCGATCGCTTTACCTGTGATATTTGTAGACGCGCCTAAATAAAAGTTCTATTCTATTTTTAAACGATTTTTACCAACATTAGCCCAAGTTATAGTACAAAAACTTAGAGTGGCCGGTAACGCACGACTCTCCCCTACCTGCGTGCCGTGACGCACCGAGTAAACTTTAACTCGCTTTCTAAAAAAACACTAATTTACGCTAGAAAATTCTAGAAAACACTCTACAATCTTACTCGACGACGCAAAAAACCGTCTCCTCAGCAGAGATCAACTCTGGCGAGCCTAATTTACCGGAAGATTTAATTAAATTTAAATGAAAAAGAACTCGAACACCGCATCTAATTCGTGTATTCACAATTTCCGATAAGAAAACAGATTACACCAACGATCTACGCGTCCGTTTAATCATTTTCTCGTACCTTCACCCGCGCTTCCTAGTGTTAATATCTCTGGCCGGTGTGCGTGAAAAATAACTGCGATGATTTAGAGGGTCGGAATAGTGGAACTATTCGAACATTTATCGCTCGGTGGGCAAGTTTCCGATAACCGCGGAATAAAAACCAGCTCGGGGGGGTTATTATTCCGTCGTTTCTTTCCCACGCGTTTTCTCCGCTCTGTGATACACACACACACACACACACTGTGTGTAGAATGCGTGCACACCGGTGTTGTATGCGCGCACAAGCGGTCTCACCTGTCCGCACGCGTGTCTCGCGTATTAACCGCGTATCCTCGACGTTAAATTACCGAGTTGGCGATTTTTTTTTTCCCTACCCTGTACCATCTCTCTTTTATCGCCGTTTTCTCCCGGCTGTTTGTTATTCGTATTCCTTTAACGCCTCGTAAATTTTTTACAATTTCCTCCTTTTATCTCTCTGTTGCACGTCTTTTTTCTTCTACTTTTTTTTCTTGCATCGCGGAGAGCGGTTTAATCGAGAGACTCCTTAAATCTATTTTCCTCGTGGCTGGTTTTCTATTTTCTGGTTTCAGGGAGAATAATGTTGGAAGATTCATGTTGAAAGGATAATTTACATGTTGAATATGCGTTCCTGGTTCCGTTGGAACAGAGCCTAACCGTCCCCTGTCGATCGTTTCCCTCTATTTTTCTCATTAAACGATTCCTGTTTTTAGAGGAAGAGCAACGCCTCGTTCCAGGTAATATCGGTGTTTTGATCGAAAACTCTTCTATTTAGTCCTCGTCTTCTTCTTCTTCTTCTTCTTCTTCTTCTCCCTTCCTCTTTCTCTCTCTCTCTCTCGCTCTGTGTATCCTTTAATAGAACGAAGTTTGTGTCGTGGTTATCGAGAAGCACGTTTCACGATCGTGGAAGTCGTTTGGCCTTTTTATCCACGTAGCTCTGTACTAGAATTCCTGCTTTGCCGTACGAAAAATTTCTCGTCGTTGAAGGGGGTCGGTGTTTTGCATATTAGCGTTCGAAATAGCGGGATAGAATTTGCCGGGGAGAAAAACGCGTGGTTACAGTACTTACTTTGCCGGGAATTAATTGGCTTCCGGCGTGTGATCGGTGAGAAACGCTGTGAGTGGTCGTTTAGAATAATTCGGTGATTGTCGTTGTTCTTTGGTTTTATTGGGAAATTTCATAAGATCGAACAAGTTTTTACCATCTTTCCTCGTACCGATGAATTCCAATCTCCTGTTTCTCCTCCAAAACATCTAGTGCATCCAAACAATAATCATTTCCGCCACAAATGAAAATGCCAAACGTATACTTTATTCTACTCAATCCTCATCCCTCCTCGTGCCAATTCATTTCAATTTTCTCTTTCCCCTTCAAAAAATTGAATGCATCCAAACAATAACCAATAGCTCCACAAATGAAAATACCAAACCCACACAAATATACTCTACTCAATCCTCATTCTTGCTCGCATCAAACAATTCCAATCTTCCCTTTCTCCTCCACAATTCAAATCCAAAAACAACAACCAATGGCCCTACAAATGAAAACACCAAGCCCACAAAAATATACTCTACTCAATCCTCGTTCTTGCTCACACCAAACAATTCCAATCTTCCCTTTCTCCTCCACAATTCAAACCCATCCAAAAACAACAACCTATGATACTACAACTGAAAGCACCAAACTAACTCTATTCAATCCTCATTCCTTCTCACACCAAACCATTCCAATCTTCCCTTTCCCCTCCACAATTCAAACCCATTCAAAAACAACAACCTATGATACTACAACTGAAAGCACCAAACTAACTCTATTCAATCCTCATTCCTTCTCACACCAAACCATTCCAATCTTCCCTTTCTCCTCCACAATTCAAACCCATCCAAAAACAACAACCTATCATACTACAACTGAAAGCACCAAACTAACTCTATTCAATCCTCATTCCTTCTCACACCAAACCATTCCAATCTTCCCTTTCTCCTCCACAATTCAAACCCATCCAAAAACAACAACCTAGGATACTATAACTGAAAACACCAAACTAACTCTATTCAATCCTCATTCCTTCTCACACCAAACCATTCCAATCTTCCCTTTCTTCTCCACAATTCAAATCCATCCAAAAACAACAACCAATGCTCTCACCAGAAATTTCAACAAATTTCCTTCCTGAAAACCGACAAAACAACATTCTACAAGCAACCACACCGAGAAACCTCAACATCTACTCTAAACGATCTCTCGAAAACCTCTCCATAATGCTCTCACCACAAATTTCAACAAATTTCCTTTTTGAAAACCGACAAAACAACATTTTACAAGCAACCACACCGAGAAACCTCAACATCTACTCTAAACGATCTCTCGAAAACCTCTCCATCAATCTCTCTCCAGCATCCATAAGCAAGAACAAACGTTGGAAGCTTGGCTGGAGCGGCATCAAGGTGGACGTCGCGCGTATCGTTCTCTCCCTCTGTCCTATTACATGAAACGCGATGGTCCTCGTCGTTCGCGACACAGCGCATTTAAATAGTATGTGTAGGTACATACGAGATAGAGCGAGAGAGAGTTTAGACGAGGTAGGCAGAGGGGTTTCCGGCGAGCGTTAACAGAGTAACAGAGTGATGTAATGAGGCCCGGAAGCAGGCAATTTGCTGGCCGCGGCGGCCGCAGTTGCGCGAGACAACCTGCCCGGAGTACCTTCTTCTTGATATCGGGTCCAGCCTCTTCGACTAACCGATATCCGACGATCCCGTGCTCGCGATAGATCGTCCCTGACCGCGCACGCGCCTCTCTATCGTCGTCGATCGATCGGTCGTGATCTATACATACTTCTGTCGTCGGTTATCGATCGGTAACGTTCGGTGAAAGAAATTTCGACGAGGAGAGAAAAGACAAGAGAAAAAATGAATATTCTTCGTTCGTTGTCGAAGAATTGCGTCGTTTGTGAAACAGATTATATCACGATTTAATTCGTCACCACCGAGAGAAGATTTTTCTGTATTTACCGTACAGAGATACTGCGAAGATCGAAGATTACTCTCGTAGGGAATGATGATTGTTGTACGTCGTTTTTTACAACGATGTTTCGTCTCGTTTGGAAATAATTATTGGAAAAATGGTGGTTTAGAATTAGACGTTTTCGGGAAGATTCTTGTGGTACTTGGAAACGTGTTCGTACAGTTCAATGTCGTGGTATAATCGTAGTACAGGGTGCTTCGAAAAAATGTTAACACTTGTATCGAGAACTTCTAATCACAAAATTTTCAATCATTTTTCTGCTTAGAAACTTGTTTCATATTTCAATTTCCAAAGAAAAAATTGAAAATTTCGCTTCTCTAGTAAACCTCGTTTAAAAAGACACAATTTCTTCGAAAACCTTGGCAAACATTTGAACGAAGAGAAATACAATAGGTCGACGAGGGTATTTTTCTTATCTCCGCGAGATACAGCGTTGATAACAATAGCGAACAAGTGGAGATTCTCCGAAGACAAAGTGTTATCAGAATCCTTCAAACATTTCCGCAATTGTAACATATCGAAATCTTCAAATCTCGCTGACTGCAACTACGACACGTTACTGTCTTTATTTACGCGTCTCAGGAGAGTCTAACGTTACCGCTCGCGTATTTTGCATACGTTGCTATTCAATTGCACAACTTCGTATGCAAAAATGTTGTAATTACGCAAAAAATTCAACCTTCTATTTACCATTTCTGCTCCTCTAAAAGTTACATACTTCCGTACAAGTGTTAACATTTTCCTGAAACATCCTGTAGATCGACAGGAAGAATTGGAAATCGAGACGGTGTGGATCGTGAAGCATCGAGGAGCGTCTGACAGGACGCGGAAACCGTAGACTCGCCGGAGGTGCACCGTGATTATGTGACAGTTTTGTGAACGTGATTAAATTGACCTCGATACAACGTGAACATCCGCGCGGCTCGTTCTTCGTACTGTTTTTTCCTCGTCGTTTTCCTAGTGGATCCTGTTGAAAAACCCGAAAAGAAAGAACGATGCATCGTACGCGACCAGAGGGAGAGACATCTTTTTTTCGTTGATCGTCATCTTCTTCTTGATCGAGCAGAATTTATTCCCTCTTCGATTTCCTCTCGTGTGCGTGTGCGTGCGTGTTCTTCTTTCTGCCTTTTGCATCGTGGAAGAGAGAACGATCGATGGTCAGCGTGTACGGTGTGCAGCTCGCATTTTATCGTGGACATCGTCGCAGCGACAGCAGGTAAAATCGACAGCGTTTGTCCATTCTTCTTCTGGTCATTGTTCGTTTCCGCTCGGTCGAATAATTCACGTAACTCGCGGGAGGAAGCGGCGGATTCTCGCGGATACGCGGAGAACGTGGACAGAGGGGATCGATTTGAAGGGATAAATGTTGTGCTTGTTAGTAAGGGGGAAGGAGTATTTGAGATTTTGCTGATCTCTAGAGGAGCAGATATTGTTTCAAAGGAAGGAGACAATTTTTTTTTAATCTTGCGCTACTTTGAAGTGCAGTATTAAGGGTTCTTGTATTTCAGAATTATTTTTAGTCTAATTCGTCGGTTGAGTATTCGGAGGAATTTTGTTTCTTCTCATTTTCTCCGTGATTTCTCTTATCTTTTTTTCTTTGATTAAAAAAATACCCGTAGCGAGTGTAAAATTCAATATCTTATAATTTACGGCGGTTTTTGAAGATTTTCCTTATGAAACACAATTTTCAATTTTTGACAAAAAAAAAAAAAGGACAGTCATCCTTTTCACTATACTCATTCGACTTTTAACTTATTTTCTGCTTCTGAAAACTGACGAACTGATTAATTAAAAGTACTCATTTTTTAAACGATTCTAAAAAAAAAAATTCAGAATCAATCAATTTTTAAAATTTTCCAGAAGTGAAAAATGGTAAAACAGTAAAAATCGACTATTTCGATAAGGATCATTTGAATTCACTATAAATTCCCATTAACCCTTTGCACTGCGAGCATTTTTTGATATAAGATTAACAGTGAAACTTCTGGAAAGCCAAAGCTTTGTCTTGAAAAAAAAAAGGATTTCTAGTGTTTACGAATTTATTTACTCGTATTTCTTGTGTAAATCTGCATTACTTCGATAATATAAAATAATATAAAAAAAGTGTGAATTGTACATTTCTCCAAAGTAATTACACGTGTCGCCATAAAAGCGGCATAGGAGTGCAAAGGGTTAACAAATTTTCGCACAGCTAATCACAAAGTATTTCCCACCAATGTCCAACGATAATAACAACCACATCGACGAATTTTCTTTTTGCACTCATCATTTCCTCCTTTCTTGAACAGAATTTTCGACGAATTTTCGGTTAGGTTTACGCGCGGCAGGATGTTCGTGATGCGATAACGATGCAAATTTCTCGCCGCTATCACTTTCGGAATTCCGATAGAGAACGGCGATAAGTCGGAGGGCCGCGTCGATAAAACGTAGATCGATAGGTAGGTGCGCTTCGCCGCGGATCCTTGCTAAATTACGACAGATCGATTACGAGTTACCGCTCGTTACGCGCGTGTAATCTGCATCCAGTTAGCCGAAGCTGTTCGCGGCTATCTCGCCGGATTCTGGATCTTCCCTCGGAGATATGTACATATCCAACCTCGTTGCAACTTCCACAAATGTACATCGTTCTTCTTTTTTTCCAAAGTTTCGATATCCCCGCGTTGTCGTGCTCCTCTTCGCCGTGGTGGAATTCTGGATCCTTTAGAAAAATCTTGCCGCAGTTACACGAGTTACCCAAGGCAACAGAAATCTTGTATCGTTTTTTTCTTATTTCTTTTTTTTTTTTTTTAACGAAATGTGAAGTTCGAATATTGTACTTTGCGTTGTAAGATCCTCGCGAGATGTTCTTCGAGAACTTCAACCCTACTGCGTTCTTCGTTTTGACCGTACACTTACGACTTTTGGGTCGAAAAGGATCTAAGACCTTATGTGAAACAATTTTTGCTTCCAACGCGACATATGAACCTAGAGAATGAACGTTTAAAATGATGTCCAGGAACGTAAACTTGATAACAGCAAAAATTACTAATGATATAAAAAGGCGGTGGGTCAAAAAAGACCCGAAGACCGCTTCAGGGTTAAATAAATGTGGTGATTGTTTAAAGTAAAATGAGAGGTTTCGTTTGATTCTATTAACGCTAGAATTAACAACGGAGTCAAAACGACCCATTACCAACTTTCGAAAAAATCTGATTGTTCGATACTGGTAAGTACTAGAGCTGTTACTTAACCCTTTCGCTACGACGGGTGACTATAGTCACCCGCCACAAAATTTCGTACTTATAAATACATTGCTATGAATAAAGATTATTTTTCTCCTAAAAGCAGTGTTACAATGGTGTTTTTGAGACGAAAGACTTGGCCCCGAACGCTGAAGACCGTGCGTGCGCGCAATATCTACACTTTTGGCGCGGCGCCTCGTTCTACGGGAGAGATTCCGCGGCGAGGACCGCCGTAGAGAAAGGGTTAAGAGATACCCGGGCCACTCGTGAAATACTCGGGTAATCAGAAAGTACCCGGGTAAACAGAAATCATCCGGGCATCTCATGAGATAGCTGCGAGTAGATATCTATTATTCCTCGACTGTTTCGGCAGAGGTTTCAAAACGGTAGTGTGAACTTTGACACGTCGGCATCGTTGCATCGCTGTCGCGACCGATCCGCATTTGTTTGCCCGGAGAACCACCAGCGGTAGTGGCCACCGAGATTTCGACTGTTTTACGTACATATTCGAGTACTCATAAGATACCCGGGTCGATCGGGTTATTTTCATCTACCCGGGTATCTCATGGGTACTCGAATACCCGGTTAAAGGTAATAGCCCTAGTAAGTGCAATAGCTTACGACTTTCCGAATTTATTTCCTACGCGTTCTACAATCACGTTTTACTTCCATGAAAATTCACTTTTGGAAAATCGCTAATGGGTCCTTTTTGACCCGGCTGCTAGTTCCAGTGTTAATATTTCAGACTGTTTGAAATGGTTTTGTTGGATTATTTCTAACAACACCCTATGGAAATAATCAAGTGAGGACAAAGGCACTAACACTTCCACTAGATACGTCTGGTGTCCGTCTTCGAGTCACGCACTGCACACTGCGATACCATAAAGTAAACAGTTCCTAGGTATAAGCGGACCCCAACTTTCTTTTTGGGTGCCCAGGAACAGTCCTTTAGAACACTCCAAAGAGTAAAGACGTTTCCTCTGAGTCCGTCAATAAATAGTATATCACAAGATAAAAAGACTATTTCATTTTCATAACCCATTTCCAATAGGTTTTAACGGACATTTCAAGGATGTTCTAATAATTCTGTTCTTGTCGAAAAGTTGCATCTTTCCTGATCGGTTAGGCAACGCACTGACTGATTAATTGATCGAGATACTGTTTACGTTGGAAACGCGACAGTTGTGTCATGCTTGGAGATAACGCATAATGGATAGATCGTGGTTACGCGATTTGGGTAATGATCTCTGCAATCTATTAACAGACGTTGTTCTCATCGAACGTGTCAATAATGGGTTTCCTCGTAATTATGAAAAAAAAGAGCGTTTATCGGATCGATAAGATATATGTAATGAAAGAAGCAAAAGTTTTTTCGTCTGAAATAAACTTTTAACTTTCATAGAGAATTTTTTTCTTTATTTTAGACATTTTGGACATTTCACTAGCCGGTTTTTTTTCTGTTTTTACAGTTTTCTATTACACCGCGATAAATTATTTAATAAATTATCACTGTTTTTGTATAATGTAGATTTGCAAGGATTTTGTGTAATTCTTTTACTTTGTTCGCGATTATTTCGAACGTTTTTTGAACATTTCAGACATCAGACTCGCCAGTTTTTACAATTTTTACAGTTTTCTATTCTACCAGAATAAATTATTACTCTGTTTCACATAATGTACATTTGCAAGAATTTTGTGTAATCCTTTTATTTCGTCCGCGATTATTTCGTACGTTTTACGTTACTTTCGGTCTAATTACACTTCCTGTGCGAGAGCGCAGAGTGGTCTGTAACGAGATCACCGGTTCGTTTGTAGGCAAAGAACTTTCTTGCGCACATGCTCATTCGATTTAATTCGATCGTGACTTTACCGGATGCTTCGAGGGTCCTTTAATGATCCTTAACGACACTGCCTACCGTAATACGCGAGTGTTGTCAAGAGTTACCGTAGCTCATGCACACTCTGTTAACACCGTTCATTGTCTACGAGTTCTCCTCTTCCCTTTGCGATCTCCGGCAAAATTACAGAAACCTAACTTTAACCTCCGTCACGGCGAACAGTTTCTGCTTTTCAACACTCGTTCTCCAATGAAGATTCTTGTTGTTCACTTTGAACCTTCGATTTAACTTTCATTCTGTCGCTACCATTCGTTCTCTTCGCCTAATTTTTTCATCAACTACCTATTGAAGAGTGTGAGAATCCATTTTTCACTTTTATACTTCTTGACAATATAGAAGCGAATGTTATATTCTACTTTGCTTTAACTCTTCTATTTTTCTAAAATCGTCATTTTTTTATCTCTTCGTTTTTTAACTCAAATTTCATTTCTTATCCTACTCTCAGATTTTCTGCTCCGAGATAATTAAATAAATGTAAGAGTATGGTTGAGTGAACGTAGGGTTTATGACTCGCAGACCGAGAGGTCCGAACGCCTTGACACCTGGGTCAGGTACGAAGAAATAAATATAGTTTTCGACATTATTTTAACTAATCCTGACAAAATATTATTTAGACTAAAAGCCCTTAGATAAAGGTTATTGAATATCATTGAATATTAAATATTACTGAATATCCTCTTCTCCGCTCTATGCATGGCTGGAAAAGTTAATAAAGTTAATTTAACCAAAGCTTAACCAAATGGAGGAGAATAGGAAAGGGTGTGTGAATGAGTGAGACAGAGAGAGTGAGAGAGATATGTAAACCAAGTCCAATTCTTGGCTGTAAGGCTGAATAAAGCAATATTACTTCTCCGCTCTATATAACGCGAAAAAATTCGAAACTAACTCCCTACTTTTTTTCCCTTTTCCATTTTTCCTGCCTTTAATTGAAATTTTTTGCAGCATCCAAGGTAACGAGAGAAAGGTTACTGAGAGGGCAATTTTGGGGTGATTTTCAGGGGCTCCAAATGGAGGAGAATAGGAAAGGGTGTGTGAATGAGAGAGACAGAAAGAGTGAGAGAGATATGTAAACCAAGTCCAATTCTTGGCTGTAAGGCTGAATAAAGCAATACTACTTCTCCGCTCTATATAACGCGAAAAAATTTGAAACTAACTCCCTACTTTTTTTCCCTTTTCCATTTTTCCTGCCTTTAATTGAAATTTTCTTCAGCATCCAAGGTAACGAGAGAAAGGTTACTGAGAGGGCAATTTTGGGGTGATTTTCAGGGGCTCTTTGGTGATGTACGACAGCGCTAGCTGTTCGTACGCAGGTGCGCTCGAATTAAAAGGAGCCTCCGGGGCCGGAGCCGCGGCCGCAAGTGTAACCGCGGCGGGTGTCAAGCAGGAAAACTGGCCGTACCGCGGCCTGACCTGCGGTAGCACCTTCCAGAGGCTCAAGGAGAGCGTTGACAAGGCGAAACAAGCGCTCGCCGACCGCGGCGGATACTTATCCGGTGCTTTCTCGCCGCCGCCACGTGCCACTCCATCCGCCATTTCGCCAACTGCCTCCATCACCGGTGAGTCTCGTCAAATCTTCAATGTTTACTTCAAATATCGTACTCAATATCCGTTATAATTTTGTGAACCATTCTGGATATTCGGTGTTTAGTAGGATCGCGATATTTTTCAATTTTAAATTAATATACCATTTTTGTGAAAAACTGCAATGTTATTGGTTTCCATTTTGGAGGTTAGAAATTGAAATTCTCGTATTTTAAGGAATTTCGCGTTTCCTATTGTAGATAATGTTAAATCTTCGTGAAATATTCAAATTATTTCGTAAACTACCGTTCTTTTCGGTAGTGAGGTTAGGTTATTTCAAATTTCCCGCCGTAGATAATTTAGGAGTCTACCGTTAAATTCGATTTAGAAATTTATACAGAGAAATGATTTATCTGGTCTCATTCGATAAACCACAACAACCGTAAGTCCCTTGAGAAAGAATAATCCTTGAACAGTAGGTGGTCACGCGACCTCGTTCTATTCACTAACGATACACACCATACTCTTAGCCGGTGCACGTATTAGAGAAAAAAAAATTTGAAAGTAAAATGGTTGGAAGTTTATCTCACTAGCGACACCTGCCTGCGCTCTGTACCACTAGCCTCGACACGAGCTTGCATGTAATCGAGTCGCGTGTGCATTTCCACGCGTACTTTGCGTGACCTACGATTAACGTAGGAAACACCGTTTCGTTTCGAGACCAGCCGTCGTCCAGTAATAATAATTCACCAGCAAGCGACGCGGACGATCGAGTAAAATCGGTGGAAACGATCGAAAGGTTAAAATGTTCTCTCTCTCCCTCTGCCCAGGTGAACAATTATCGTGGATTGAGTCACACACGGCTTTCTCACGACTTGGAAATCTCCGATCTAATCGATAGTCTCGATCTCGATGTTTCTCGCGATCCTGGCCTTTTTACCTGCTGATTTTCTCACGTTGCTTGTTACGCGTAATTAGGAACAGCTTGCTCTTGTCAGGATCGTGGAATAGATTAATACCGAGAAGTGTTCGCGAAGGAAGTGTTATTGATTCACGTCGGTGTATGCGTTTTCATTAAGGCGAAGTTTGCGTGAAGTAGGTGGAGGATTTTTATGTTTCTTGATGTGTTTCTACCGGAGGATTTAAGAAAGGATAATTTGTTCGACGTGCTTGTGCAAATTTGGAAATATTTTTTTTAAGCTGAATTCGACTCGTATCGTAAGGTACAAGTTTATGGTGAACGATGCAATTTGTTGATAATGGCTTAGAATTACGAATAGAAGTATTCAGTAATACTATATTGCGAAATTAAATAAATTTTGAAATATAAAGTTTGTTATACCGTTCAGCCTTTGTCTGTACAAAAACCTATCTCCCCTGAAATCAAATTGTGAAGTGTACTATAACCTGTATAAAACAACCTTAAAGTGTACGATGAAGTGTAACCTAACCTATATAAAACGTAACCTTAAAATATACAACGAAGTGTAACCTGACCTATATGAAACATAACCTTAAAATATACAACGAAGTGTAACCTAACCTTCATTTCCTGTATAAACGTATATACGTCTTCTAAGTAGTTTTATCTAACAAAAGTCACATTTAACCCTTCGATTTATCTTCCACGTAACAACACCACTCTTCACACCTACATTTCCATTACATTTCACCGTCAATTCCAAATAACAGAACATCTGCGCGAACCAATTTCTCCGTCCATAAAACAAGGAGGATCGATTTGAACAAAGGGGCCAAAGAACGGTGAAAAGGAAAAAAACTGGTGAAAAAAAAAAATAAACAAATAAAAGAGGAAAATCTCGGGCGTGATAATTTGTCAGACGAGTGCCGGCCGCGATACCGGCAGCCTGACTGTTGCTCTTCGTTGTCGCCGATTTCCGATTGTTTTTTTAAAGCGCCGGTCGCCGAGGACATTAATTACCCGGTCAGTGTAAATCACGTTATCTACCGCCCACGCCCCCTCCGCCAGAGGGTGGAGGTGGAGGCGACCAGAGGAGGAGGAGGAGTGCGTTGCACGAGGGTTGCACCGCTGCCAACTGAGCAAAACGGTCGTCGACTGCCGCTCTCCACGGCCACACCAATATCCTGCTCGCTCCTCGGAAATTTATCGGCCGCTCGCTTGAAAAGTTCACGTGCCACACGTCCCCCTTTCTCCACCTTTCTACCCAGCTTGGACGTATCGTGCTCTGAGGAACTTATTCGTTAACCCTCAGGTGCCTGAATGAGTACCGACGTTCGCACACACATACACTTCCGACCGCTTCAATTTTAGATCGACGTGTGTAAAAGTATGTGGAAATGTCAGGTAGCTGAATTTCGTGGAATTGAAAAGGGTTAGAAGAGGAGAATTGTTTTAGAATGAAAGTGAAGAAAATTAGGGGGAGGTGAGGAAAAATTGCTTAGGTATTGAAGGGTCGAGGAAAGATTGTTAAGAGACAGTCTTAGTTCTGTGAAGTTTGTCACAGGAAGGTCTTCGTTAACCCTCGGACAGCGGATGGAGTGACAGTCGCACGCACGGCGAAACCCGGGTCAAATGTGACCCAACGCTAAAATCTTCCTACGCAAGCGAAAGCACATTTTTTTATTTTACTATTGAAACAACAAACGTATGGATAATGTAAGGAGAGGAGACAGAAAGTCGGGTCAACGGTGACCCGGCATTCGTCGTTCGAAGGTTAATCAAGATTACTAACCAATTCTTCAAAGATAAAAACCAACCTACACTTCAGTCTTCCGAACACATTGAATACTCCCATTGAAAATCGAACTAAATACCAAAGAACCAAGTAGATCGACAACTAAACTACTCCTCAACCTACATTTTCCAAGTAACCTTCTAAAACACGAAACCAACTTACACTTCATTCGACTGGAGACACTCAATCACGGTGAAACAAAAGGCTACACTTCAGTCACATCAAAAGCTCGGCAAATAAATCTCCAAACCATCGAATATTTCCACTGAACCCCAGAGGAGAACCAAAGGGGCAGAAAACCGAGCATACTAACGACGCAACTACACACAGCTATGTAACCTGAAACCCTCTGAAGAACAAAACCAACGAGAACCTCGTCTTCTCCAGAAAAAAAAAAAAAGAAGAAAACCATCAAATGCCTCCTCCATTGAAAAACCAGATCAAAGAACCTAACCTAAAAGCGTCCCTCCCCCCGCAGCATCTCTGAAACGTTTGATCGATCGTCGTTTTATCATTTGTGGGCCGCGTTTCTTCGTCGTGGAGAGTGGCCGAAAAATTTCCAGCGAGATACCGTCCTCGGTGCAAGATGGTGGGTCGATGATGGCGGCGTAGTCGCGAAAATGTAGATGACAAGGGAGGAGGAGCGGTTAGGGGTTAGCCGGGAACGTATCCATGACGACCGACCGCCCCACGAATCGCCACCCTCTCGGAGATCCCGGATGCACCCCTCGCCATCCCAGCATCCCTCCTGTTTCTCTCTATCTCTCTATCCCTCTATTGCTCTAACTCCGTGAAACCCTCTCTCTGGTTGCTCGAGGTTCAATCCTCTACGTGGGGATGATGCTCGACTACTTAGATTTTAAGTCGGAGCATTTCGTGCTGTGTAGATCTGTACGTATATATCTATATAGATGTGCATATATAGGTGTGTATAGTATGGTACCTGGCTATAATTCTGCGTGGAGTTTCGCCGCTCCTGACAAAGGGGAAATCCCCGGTGAAATTGTAGCCCCGTTTCTCCGCGAAAATTTACCGGCTCTTCCACGGTTACCAAATACCAGCGGGGGATGGAAAGCACAAGGAGTAATGAGATTGAGGTTAGGTTTGGGAATCGGGGGATTTCGACTGCTTTCAGAATGATTATAGACTGATGGGTTTGGAGATGGAACGTGAGTGCTTGAAGTTTTGCTGGGTTTAAATTGGATCTTCTTCTTTTTGGTGGGTAGATTATTATACAGGTTTAGTAAGGATTGTCGAGGTGCGTTTTGAGGTTAGTTTGATCGAAGAATATTCTTTGCTCATGGAAATTGTAATAAAGGTATATTTTTTGCTTTTCTTGTACTCTTTCTTTACCATTATTTTACAATCCTGAAGATTTCAAGGTTACAAAATATGTCTCAAATATTTTTTTGGTTTATAATGTTTTTCTTAGTCGTTACTTAATTTTTCATAATGGAGTCTAACTTTTAGTAAAAAAAATCGTTACCGTTTTCCCTCTTGAAACGTTCATTTGCGTTAAATAAAGTCTCGTTTCGTGCGCGGTCGGTCCATTATATATCGGATATTGTGTCAGCGTGTCCGAGGGCGGTGCATGTATTTAATGTTTGCCGGTCAAGCACCATCCCGCCTTGTTTGCGCTGGTAATTGATGTTTGACAAAATGAGGTGACGCGCATGCCGACAACGTGTTGTTTGCCAGGGCGCAACGTTGCTGGTTAGCCCTTTTAAGGTTCGCAGGAGTTGCGCCACGTTCGATCGGGCACGCTCCGCTAAACTAGGCCCGAGGTTATGGGACGATCCTGGTGGTAGTTTCTCTGTTAAACGGTCGACTTGTCGCAATTCACTCCAATAACGAAACTAATAAAGAACCTGCTTCTTTTTCTGATGAAAAATTTCTAAATAACATTCGAGTCGTTCAATTTGGAATTTGGATCAAACTTTTCGACAATTTTGAAATTTCAACGAAATTCTTATCGAAGAGATGCAAACGGGTGCTGTTGAAATAAAATAAGAATTCTGTGCTGCGATATTTACGAAACAAATTTTTACAGATTTCAGTGTTTTCTTAATTAACATTTACCATTAAAACTATTTACGACGCACTCTAATCGTTTTCTTTTTTCTTGTCATTGAAATTGTTAAATAACTTAAGTTTCATTTAAATTTAACTTAACCTCTTCAGGGACACAGATGCATACACTACCGGCCAAAAGTGTGGAATCACCTCCCACTTTTCATCGATATTATATCTGCTGCTAATTTTTTACAGATTTCAAGTTTATCTCAATTCTGCTTTTATCAAATTATCTCCTATCGATC